ACTACGATTACTACTACTACTACTACTACTACTACTACTACTACTACTACGACTACTACTACTACAAAATAATACTACTACTACTACTACTACTACGACGACTACTACTACTACTACTATTTCTACTACGACTACGACTACGACTACTACTACGATTACTACTACTACTACTTCTACTACTACTACTACTACTACTACTACTACTACTACGCCTACTACTACGACTACCACGACTACTACTACTACTACTACTACTACTACTACTACTACTACTGCTACTACTACTACTACTACTACTACTACTACTACTACTACTACTACACCTTGCACTACTATGACTACTACCACGACTAGAACTACTACTACAGCAACACCGCCGCTAATGCTGCTGCCGGCGCACTGTTTTCGCTGGTGGGAAATGATCGCACCCCTCCTCGTCAACGCGTTGCTGGGCCTCTGCCCGCGGCTCCCCTGTTGCCCGGTGGCGCGCTGACGGGACGCCAGACACTTTTTGCACGAGACGCCTGCGACCGGGCACCTCTCGTGCCACGATCGATCGAAACGCCAACCGCACCGAGCGACCCACATCTCTGTTGGGAACACAGGGTCGCCTACGACAACCTCGTGGACCTCCCCCTCCGTACTGCGAACGCCTCCGACTTGCTCCTTCTGCTCAGCCGCCCACTGCTTCGCCCGCGACCCGTGGGCCTGCTCCGCGGCGGCAAACAGCCCCCCCTCCCAGGAGGCGAACGCCTCCGCGCACCTCTTCTCGACCACGGCCTCTACGGCCGCCTTAGGTCGGCCAACGATGGCCTTGGAGCGATGCTTCCCCCTGGGCCTCCAGTCGCGACCACCAGGCTTCCGACACCCGCTCGTCCAAGGCGCCCCCCACATACTTCCGAACGGTGGGCCCTCCCCACCGCCCTGGGAGCTCGACGCGAGCCATGGAAGCCCCGCGCCTCGCGTAGTACTGAGCCCCCACTCTTCGTAGGGGGCTGTTCGGCGAGCCGCGCCGCGCCGGCCACTCGCTGCACGGTGGCCACGACCCCTCCTTTCGAGGGCGCGGTGCCCTGCCCTGACGGGAAGGGGGGGAACTTCCCGCCCCGCCCCTTGCGCTCCCGCTCCAGCGTGAACTCTCTCTCTCGACACCAGAGGTTGTGCGCATGGGGTGATTGCCGAGCTCGCTGGCTCATCGCCCAACGCAGCAGGACGTTCACAAAACAAGCAAGCACGACACTTTGTCGGCAACGGACGGGGTGTGCAGGGGGAGATTGCCGAGCTCGCTGGCTCATCGCCCGACCCAGCAGGACGCTCGCAGGGCGGGCAGGCGCGGCACTTTGTCGGCACTAGACGGAGTGTAAAAGGGGCGGTTGCCGAGCTCGCTGGCGCATCGCCCGACCCAACAGGAAGCTCGCAGGGCGTTGAAGACGCGGCACAGTTCTCGACACCTGACGGGGGTACGCCATTGGAACGTGCGGGCGTCGACAAGGACGACACGGTGAAGGCAAGGGCCGGCGCGGCGTGGCCGACGTTGGCGCGTCTGTAGCTTTCGCAGTTCATGCAACCCACGACGCCGCGGTCCTTCGAGCGGGCCACAGAAAGGAGTGCCATGTCGCACCTAGCGCCCTGCACATTCGCGATGGTGTTTACAGCGCACTGGAAGTTCTCATCCTTGGGAGGGAGCGCGACACCAGAGCTCAGGGGGGCTCAATAAGGGCGCTCTGCGAACCAGGGCGGGCCCGCGCGACGGCACCTGGTCGTCGTCGTCGTCGTCGTCGTCGTCGTCGTCGTCGTCGTCGTCGTCGTCGTCGTCGTCGTCGTCGTCGTCGTCGTCGTCGTCGTCGTCGTCGTCCCCTTCGCGCAGCAGCTTCTCCGTCGGGGCGACGCTGCGAAACGGGGTGCCCCACCCCTCACGAGAGCGCCAGCGCGGGGCCCAGCAGCCGCCGGCAGAGGGGCGGGAGCCCTGGCCAGTTGGGCCACCTCCTGGGCTTAGCACGGAGTCGGCTCGCAGGAGTCTCGACTCGCCTGGACTCGCTTCGCCGGGATTCGCTTCGCCGGGGCTCGCTTCGCCGGGGCTTGGTTCGCCCGACTCGATTCGCCCGCCTCTGGCGAATCGAGGCTCGGGCGAAGCGAGCCTACGCCTGGGTGAGGGCCCTGACCAGCTGGATGATCTCCTGGGCTTCGGAGGGGCCGAGGCGGGAGCTCGCCTCTCGTACTCCTGGCTTCCGTGGCGGCGGAGGTAGACCACCTAGTGGACCCCTTCCAGGGCCCCACGCATCCCCCCCGGAGCGATGCGCACCGATGGGCGCCAGGGACTCGGTCGCACCGGGAGGGGTGGCGGCGGTGAAGGATGCGGGCCGGGCCCCAGGGCGGCATGGCGACCGCCGACGGGAGGCCCGCCGCCTGCGTCGTCGGTGCCCGGCCTGTCGATGGCTTCGTTCGGGGGCGCCGGCGCAGGTGCAGCGGATCCACCCAGCTCCAGGGAAGACAGGCCGTCACTCAGGGCCAACCCCACAGTGCGCAAGTCGCAGATCTGGGACTGGACCTCGCTGGACACCTCGCTGAGTTGTATGATCGCAGTTTCTCGCGTTCCCGCTCACGCACCAGAAGAAGCAGAGCAGTGAAGTTTCAAAGCGCGCTCTCATGCAAATGGCAAGCTCATGCTGGTCTTGCAAGGGGATGCTTCTTATAGTGAGAAGTACAGCTTGTAGGGGCGCATGAGGAGGGGACTTGGAACGGGAGGGGCATCGGAGCACCGCTGATGTATCTGGGGGTCACGCTGGTCCTCCTCCTCCTCCCCCGCCTCCTCCTCCTCCTCCTCCTTCCTCCTCCTCCTCCTCCTCCTCCTCCTCCTCCTCCTCCTCCTCCTCCTCCTCCTCCTCGCTCCTCCTCCTCCTCCTCCTCCCCTCCTCCTCCTCCTCACCTCCCTCCTCCTCCTCCTCCTCCTCCTCCTCCTCCTCCTCCTCCTCCTCCTCTCCTCCCTCCTCCTCCTCCATCTCCTCCTCCTCCTCCTCCTCCACCACCACCACCACCATCTCCTCCCTGCATCCTTCCTCCTCACCCTCCCTCCCTCCCTCCCTCTTCCCTCCTCCCTCCCTCCCTCCCTCCCTCCCTCCCTCCTCTCCTTCCTCCCTCCCTCGACCCCGATCCTCACCCTGACCCCCCCGCTGCGCGGCGCGTGGCGCGGGCCAGGGGCGGCCGGGCACGCTGGAGGAGAGCCCCGAGGCCGTCCGCTCCGCGCGGCCGCTGGCGTAGACCCACGGGAAGTTGTTCCCGGAGAGCACGGC